ACTCTGGAAGGGCAGGCCAAGGAGTGGATAGACACTCGACCTCCAGGCTCTATCACCACGTTCGCCAACCTGGCGGACAAGTTCCTCACCCGTTACCATCCTCCGTCCAAGACGGCGGACCTGCAGAAGCAAATTACCAATTTTGCTCTAGATGAGGATGAGACCATCAGGGATGCTTGGGAGAGATACACCAGTCTCTTCCTCAAGTGTCCTAACCATGGTTTTACTGATGCTTTCAAGGTGGGCACCTTCTATCACGCCCTCTTCCCAGAAGACAAGCAACTGATTGACTCGGTTTGTGGCGGGAACATGTTGACCAAAACACCGCCACAGCTGAATCAACTCTTTGAGGAGATGGCGGAGAACGGGTATGATTGGGGCACTGCTAGGAGGTCGAGGAGAGCACCAAGCCGAGGTGTGCATTCTGTAGCCACCCAGTCATCTGATTTGGTGCAGGTGGTGTCGAAGCTGGTGTTAGCTATCGATCACTCTGGGATGATTCCAGGGACCGGACAGCAGCAGGTGATGCTCTGCTAGTGGGCTAGAGCACCCATCACACGGTGGAAGACTGTCAGGCAATGAAGGAATCGACCACACCTCAGGAGCAGGTGAACTTCATCAATAATGCTAGGCGAAATGACCCCTACAGCAACACGTACAACGAGGGGTAGCGCCAACATCCCAACTTCTCTTGGGGTGGGGCAAATTCTAGACCACAAGTTCCCCAGGGACCACCTGGCTTCCAGAGGTCGCCATATCAGCCCAGACAGGGGCAATTTCAGCAGCAGCAGCAGTCTCTCTACCAGCCCATGCAGGGGCATGCTGCTCAATCACTGCCGCAACCTTTCCAGCAGCCAGGTGTAGCCCCTGCCACCCCTATGCAGACTGATCCGATGGCTGAATTGCGGGACTTGGTGGGTTCTCTCGCCAGTTCTAGTGCTCAGAAATTCAACACTATCGAGCAGTTCATGGAAAAGGACTCGGTTAAATTCATGGCTCTTAAAGCTGGCCAGAGTAACACACAGGCTGTCTTGCAGGATATCCAAACCCAGCTGGGGAGCGTGGCTCAAGCAGTGGCGCAAAGGGCTCCAGGTACCTTGCCAGGTCATACCATTCCTAATCCGAAGGACCCGAATGCCCACTGCAATGCCATCACAACCAGGAGTGGCAAGATGACTACTAATCCACCTGTTTGGGCACAAGAGAGAGAGAGACCCCTGCCTCGGCATCTCTAGCGGCTGAAGAAGAAGCAGAGCAGGAGGTTGAGGTGCCTGCGCCTAAACCGCAACCAGTAGTGAAGGAGTATATCCCTCAACTCCCCTTCCCTACTCGGTTGCACAAAGACAGGCTAGAGGCAGAGTTCGGGAACTTCATGTCCATGCTTAGGAAGCTGAATGTCCAAGTACCTTTACTGGAGGCACTATCTCAAATGCCTAAGTATGCGAAGTTCCTGAAAGATCTTCTCTCAAAGAAGCAGAAGCTGAGCGAGCTTGCCACTGTGGAGCTCAGCGAGGAGTGCTCGGCCATTCTACAGAACAAGCTTCCGCCGAAGCAGAAGGACCTAGATAGTTTTACTATCCCGTGCTCTATAGGTAAGTTACATGTAGAGAGGTCCTTGGAGGATCTAGGTGCTAGTATCAATGTCATGCCATATCAATTGTTCAGGAAACTAGGCCTAGGTGAACCCCGTGAAACTAGGATGAGTCTTCAATTAGCTGACCGATCTATAGTACATCCTAGGGGCATAGTGGAAGACCTTCTGGTTAAGGTGGGCAAATTCCTTTATCCTGTGGATTTTGTTGTCTTGGACATCAATGAGGACACAGAAGTGCCCCTTATACTGGGAAGGCCTTTCCTAGCCACCGCCAAGGCTCTCATAGATGTGCATGATGGGACCTTAGTTTTGAGGGATGGCGAGGAGCGAATAACGTTTTCAATTGCTAATACTCTCCCTGCTTCGTCACCTCTGCATGCTGTATCTCACTAGGAGCACGAGTCTGTCGTGCATCCTTCTGTGCTTCCTATTTTGCAGGATCCGCCTCCCATACCTTCGCCGCCACTCCCATCCACTCCGTCACCAAAAGAACAGATCAAGGAGGAGTGGCGGCCGAAACTGCAGGCAACTAAGCCTGCTCGATAGAAAGCCGGAGACCACTATGAGCTGGTCCCGCCCCCACCTTGGCCATTCAAGTATTCACTCGCTTGCATCTTGCCGGATGGCCAAGTCGAGTTGGCGAGTGCTGGTGGTCACACCCGCCGTGTGCATGGCCACCATCTGAAGCTCTACCTCAAGAGCGATGTGGATCCGCTCTTGAAGGAACATGCTCCCACACGTCTCTGAGCATCCACCTACTGGCGTCCAGCTAAAAGACGGTAAAAAAGCGCTTGTGGGGAGGCAACCCCACCTAGGTTTGCATTTTCTTACCTTTTTCCTTTTGAATTTTTGTGTTTTTGAGTCTTGAGGTGTTGTTCACGAGTCGTATGTCGTTTTTGAGTGGAAACATGTCAAATTCGGAGTTCGGGCAGCCCACACGGCCAGCCCTGAAAGTCATACGGCCGTGTGAAAATGGGTTTTGGCCGTGTGAGCTCTCGACAATTTCCACACGGCCAGTTGTGATTTTCACACGGCCGTGTGGAAATCCTCGGCCTGCCCGTGTGACCTCTCGACAATTTCCACACGGCCAGTTGTGCTTTTCACACGGCCGTGTGGAAATCCTCGGCCTGCCCATGTGAGCTCTCGACAATTTCCACACGGCCAGTTGTACTTTTCACACGACCGTGTGGAAATCCTCGGCCTGCCCATGTCGGCCAACACGGGCACATGTGCACCTCATACGGCCGTGTGAGCTTGCCCGTGTGGCCGAGCTAGCCTATATAAATTTGGCCGACACGGCCGCGTGGTCAGAAAATCCCAAACTTCTCGCCGGAAAACTGCGACCTCTTTGGCTATTTTCGGCCATTTTTGGTCGGTTTTTCACCAAAGCACCTCCACACCCTTCCTTTTCTCCCCATTTTTGGCCTATCCCTCGACTTTAAGGCGATTTGAGCAGATTTTGAGTCGCCGGAGGCGATTTCCGGCAAGACTCCGGCGAGGCTCCGACGAGAACTTCTGGGTAGATTTTGGCCTCTTCTTCGCTTTCATTGCCTTCCCCTCATCATCCCCTACATCTCTACTTGTGTCTCCATGTTTGATTTTACCCTTAACCTTGTGAATTGTGGAGAATTGGGTGTTAGGGTGCATGTTTAGAGAACCACTTTGAATCATGTGAATTGTGTGCAATTGATTGAGGGGAATGCTTGGTTTATGTGTGAATGAGGTTGGGCAATGTCCCTCTTGCTTGATTGAGCCCTTGTGTGCAAGAAATTTGTTAATTTTATGCTTAACTTCATAGTGCACACAAGGTGTTCGATGAAATGCCTATTTTTGTACCATTTTGTGAGAGTCTGTTGGGGCCCTTAATGATGTGCTTTGAGGGTGTTTTTGCTATGGATGTGAACCTTGAGTTGCCTACTTTTTCATGCATGTGCATCCCCACCCCGATTATGCTTGTTTGATTGAGTTTTTGACCCCCGAACTATGGATGAAACCATTGTTCGGCTGTTTTCTGTTCTTAAGTGTGGGGGTGTGATTAACCTTTTCCTTTGGCTCTTTTGGTTCCATTTTGGGTTGTTCTTTTGTTGGACCATGATGAAGCCTGACCTCAAGCACCCGTTTATTCGAGATTTGAAGAGGGGCCCCCACCAGGATCGTTTTAAGAGCGTCCTGGCCTGCAAGTTTGGGCAGCATCATTGCTGGTCCAAGCGAGTGTTTGAGAAGCTGAACTGCTACGAGCACTTCTCCGCCATTGTCACCAACCGCCCTTGGCGCCGTATACTCTGCATTCGCGAGAAGGTTTACCACGAGCTCGTGTTTGAGTTCTACACGACCTTCAAGCATGCAGACACGGAGGATTGGAAGGACGGAGAAGCTGTCAAGTTCAGGCTCAGCGGTTCACCTCGATCGATGAGCTACCACAACCTAGCAACCGCCCTCGGCCTTGGCCTGGCCAATGATGAGGAATACATCACCGAGCTCACCGAGCCAGAGGGGGTGGACTTCAGGAAACTGTACACCCGCCTCGCTCGGCCAGGCCAGCGTCCCTTCCAGGCGGGGAAGACGAAGGCCAGCACCTTGTAGCTCGACAACCGCATTCTCCACCACTTGCTGAAAAAGTCCTACACTCTAGCCTCGGACAGTGCCAGCACCATCACCGGGAGAGCCATGTACTTCATGCAGTCCATGAACCAGGGGGATCATCTTCTCCACTTAGGTTCTGTGAGGCAAGAACCTTCGACAAGAGTACTTCAGAGCTGAAGAAACTCCATTTCACTCCCCTCATCACCCACCTGGCCACCTACTTCCAGATATCGCTGCAGGGGTGCACAGATCAGGGCCTGAATTTGACGGCTTCTCAGTCCTTCCAATCCTCCGTGTCTGCGTGCTTGAAGGTCATGTAGAACTCAAGCACGAGCTCGTGGTAAACCTTCTCACGAATGCAGAGTAGATGGCGCCAGGGGCGGTTGTTGACAATGGCGGATAAGTGCTCGTAGTAGTTCAACTTCTCAAACTCTCGCTTGGACCAGCAATGATGCTACCCAAACTTGCAGGCCAGGACGCTCTTAAAACGATCCTGGTGGGGGCCCCTCTTCAAATCTCGAATAAACGGGTGCTTGAGGTCGGGCTTCTTCATGGTCCTGCTAATGAACAACCCAAAGTGGAACCAAAAGAGCCAAAGGAAAAGGTTAATCACACCCCCACACTTAAGAACAGAAAACAGCCAAACCATGGTTTCATCCATAGTTTGGGGGTCAAAAACACGATCAAACAAGCATAATCGGGGTGGGGGTGCACATCCATGAAAAAGTAGGCAACTCAAGGTTCACATTCATAGCAAACACACCCTCAAAGCACATCATTAAGGGCCCCAACCGACTCCCACAAAATGGTACGAAAATAGGCATTTCATCGAACACCTTGTGTGCACTATGAAGTTAAGCATGAAATTGACAAATTTCTTGCACACAAGGGCTCAATCAAGCAAGAGGGACATTGCCCAACCTCATTCACACATAAACCAAGGATTCCCCTCAATCAATTGCACACAATTCACATGATTCAAAGTGGTTCTCTAAACATGCACCCTAACACCCAATTCTCCACTATTCACAAGGTTAAGGGTAAAATCAAACCTGGAGACACAAGTAGAGATGTGGGGGATGATGAGGGGAAGGCAATGGAAGCGAAGAAGAGGCCAAAATCTGCCCGGAAGTGCTCGTCGGAGCCTGAGTGCTTCAGAGCTGAAGAAACTCCACTGCACTCCCCTCATCACCCGCCTGGCCACCTACTTCCAGATATCACTGCAGGGGTGCACAGAGCAGGGGGACACCAGTATCTAAGGCGCATATACGATAGGTCGCATGCACCCGCTTCGAGAAGAGCGAGGAGTCAAGTGGATCAAGGGGTTTCCTCAACCTCAGATCCCAGCGGAGGACCAGCCGGAGGTTCCTGTGGATGCGGCTGATGAGGATGTCCACCCCCAGAAGTTAAGTCTATGTTGGTTGATGAACAGAAGGGAGACTCCTCCTTTACTCGATTTTGCTGTACTCGAATGTCTTCTGTGATGGTTGTCCAGGTTGCTATTGAAGTTGTTCATGTGTTGGTGTTTGAAAACCAGTATGATTCACGTGTTTCCGTGCCTATATGATTTGTCCCCAATGTTAGTATGATTGAAATATGTGAGCTTACCTTGTGTCTGACTTGGTTTGCTTGGGGACAAGCAAACGGTTAAGTGTGGGGGAGTTTGATAAACCGTTAATTGCACATGTTTTTACCCCTATTCTTGAGCCGTTTGAGATGTTGATTCTTGTGTTTTAGGCTGATTTCATGCTAGGTTGTGCTTGTTTGTGATATTTCAGGTCCTAGTACGTGAATGAAGGTTTGGGAGCGAGTTCGGGGTCGATTGGACGAAGATCGGACGTGTGGCGAGTTGCTGAGGAAGCCACACGGGCACTCATAAAACCCACACGGCAGTGTGAGGTACCAATGTGGCCGTGTGGGATTGTGCGAGCCTTCACATGGGCAGACTGGAGATCCTACACGGCCGTGTGTCCCTGGCCGTGTAGGTAGCCTGAAGTCCAATTATTTGAAACGCCGCGTTTTGTCTCTCACACGGGCATCTGGGTAAGCCACACAGCCGTGTGGCCTGCTCGTGTGAGTCGGGAATTCTGGTTTTTACCCAATTTCGAGCCACAAGTGAGAGAATGGACTTTTCAGTGCAAAAACAGAGTTTTAGAGAGAGAAAGGGCGAAAAACAAACCCTAGGAGCTATTTAGAGTGGATTTCTCACCATTGAAGCCCAGATTGAGTCCCCAAGAGTGAAGATTGACATCCCAGAGCAGATTTTCCTCATCTTTATGAGTATGACTACTCTGATTTCTGTTTTCCTCTCTCTTTCTATGGAGTAGAACCCTTCTCTCACTTGGGTATGAAGAACCCTAGTTCCATGTGTTAGGGATTTGATTGTAATGACTTGGGATGATTATACTGTTTGGTTTTAATCGAATGATGCATGTTTCATTGAATTGATTGAAATCTGATCAGCTTTTCTTGATTTCTGCTGCAACCTGAGATAGATAGAATCTGATTAGGTTGTTAGAGCTTCTTCATTCGGTAGTAGTAGATTGGTTATACGAGAGTTAGTCAGTCTACTGCTTTGTACTAGAATCCAATTCCAGTAGTGGAGTTCTGTGCTTATTGCTTCAGCTTTCTATCCCGGTGAAGACTAGTCGTCTGCTGGGTAGTTAGTCTGAGAGGGCTTGGTCAGCTTAAGAGATTCCAAGCTACTATTGGATCTTCCGCAGTCTAATTAATAGTAAATCAACCTAGGGTAATTACAATTGAGACCTAACTAAGGAGCTAGGGGGACTCATTCCCGAGTGACTCTTCCTTTGCTTGAGAAAACCGAACCAATTCCTGCTTTCTTTATGCTTTTAGTTAAAACAACAATCAATCGACTTAGTTGGCTAGATAATAGATAATCACGGAGTAGGCAGTAGATCTAGACCTCGGGTTGTTATTTAGAACTTGTCACTTTACTACAGTCCCATTCTGCGATTACACTTGGTCGCAGTTTGGTGTTGTGTTTTGGCGTGTCAGTCTGGTGGCAGAGTCAAGAAGGAGCAGCGAGGAAACGGCGACGACGATGACGACTGGAACTAGGAGAAGTTGGAGGTCGACGTCGGTAAATGAGAGGTAACGACCTCCCAGCTTTTTTGTAATTCAATGGCGTGCTTTGCTAAATTTCATGAATAGTTAGGGATAATTAGGCCTTTTGGATGCTAGGGAGGTTTGTGAAAATTTGGAAAGTTTGGGAGTAGATTGGTAATTTACCAGACCAAGGCTTAGTTCGTAATTAGCAAAGGTTTGAGTATCAAATAGAAATAAGCCAAGTGGGAGTGAAATGTAAAAACTCAAAAATTGAAAGGTCTGCTAGACAGAATTGTTTAATTATGAACGTTTGGGGCCAAATTGTTAAATCTTAGGAGTTTCGGGTACCATTCATTAATTTTCTATTTTGGGACGAAAAAGTAATTTTTCAGAATTTCGTGGGGAATTCTGGGAAAGGTTAAATAGAGGAAATTGGGACAGAAATTGAAAAAATTAGAGGTCATTTGGCTATTAACGCTTAGAGGTAGGAGTATTAAGTTTTGCCTAAATACTTAATAGTAGGAAGTGCAAAAGGAGGATAAGCATAAGGAGGTTGATCGTGCAGGTTTGGAAATTGGCATGAATCCACCAGCAGTAAAGAGGGGTCATTTCGATCGATCAAGGTTGGCAAATGAGGTGAGTTTAAATGGGGTAAAATTTCTATCGAGGTACTTTTAGATTATGTTTCTCATTTCAAGTTATATTTGTTATTTTATTACTTATGCGTTGTTACTCATTGAGAATCTCACCACGTATTGAAGGTGGAGGCAGGCGTTGTGCTTATGTGTATGGATGAATATGTGTGATGATGTATGGATCATAACGGTAAATTAAGGGAACCCCTGGGTGGTTGGATCACTTCTGGTCACAGTAGTTGATCAGGGTCACTGCGAGACGGTGATAGGTAACGCAATAGTTGATCGTGTATTTTGGGTCACTACTGAATGGTGATACGTAACACAGACCATTGCTCTAAAGGTAGGGAAACCGGACGACGATACATAATGCGGTGGTCCCTAGTAAGTGTGTGTAAGAGTTAAGTATAGGAGTATAGAACTCCTATACGTAATTCGGGCTTAATTGTACACTTTTTATCCCCGATTTCCTTAGGCGTTTGAGGCATTTTCACATCGAGAAATTTGGTTTTATGCTAGGTTTAGCCTTGTTTTAGCTTGTTTCAGACTCAAGCAGGTGGAACCAACCCCGAAGTCGGAAGTTGTACAAAAAGACGCAAAACAGATCAACGGAAGGAGGCAGCCGCTGATCACGGCAGAAGCAAATAGTTCATGGTCAGACGGACCGCAAACATAAGCCATCAACCATGAAGAGCCATGCGTCTAGAGCAGTTTTTGGTCTCACTAGAATCAAGCCAGTTCACGGTCTTATGATCGTGAACCCAAGCCAGAGACCGTGAACTAATTAAATGAAGCGGTGCGTTTTTGTTCAAGATCACGGTCCTCGCCATATGTTCATGGCCGTGAACTGGGACCGGGATTTGAGATGGACCTATTTTTTTGGAATTTTTAGTCACCCTCGCCTTCTCCTCGCCTTCCTCTTGGACCCTACTTTTTTCTCCAGGTCTGTTTCAAGCCTTTCCTTTGTCATTTTTGGAGAATTGGGTTAGCTTTCTAAGGTGAGGAGAATCAGTTTAATCTTAATCGAATGGTTGAAATTAGGTGAGGGGTTGGTCGAGTAGGATAGTTTGAATGATGTATGATGTGCATGTGGACATGATTGAGCCGCGGTGGGCTCATTTGGCATGAATTGTGGTAAATTGAGACAATTGCCCACCAAGTGCATTGTGTTTGAATGTTGAGTTGGATCCATTTTTGTGAATGGTAGTTCATGGCCATCGAGGCATGGTTTGGGTTTGATATTGTTATTTTGATGAACCATGAATCACCTAGAACCATGTCACGATGAGCTTTAAACGTAGTTGGGCTTAAATAGTTGAAATTGGCGAATGCACTTGGTATCCTAAGTGTGGGGGAGATTGTCGAATGTTTTGAGATTGTCGAATGTTTCCATGTATGGTATATGTCTTTGATGTTTTTGGAGAATGGTTGACATGCGCAACCCATGCCTGGCAGTGCTATCACAGTGGCCCAGCATTGAAAAAGAAGCGAGGTTCTGGGCACGATCTTCATTTAGACCCCATTGGGAACTCGATTTCACTCAGTTCGATAATCTTCATTGTGGAGATACCATGAGAGAGGCTATGACACACCCATAATGGTGCCGACTCCTCAAGATGGAAGATGACATATACGTAGAGTTGTGTGTCGAGTTTTACATCACTTTCTATGACACGCCCTAACCCAGCCGGTACTAATTTTACCAAAATACCCTTAATAAACCGTGAAATAAAAAAAGAACTGAAAATACTTAGAAAAATAGCGGAAACATTTCATAAATAATTTTAATAAATACCGAAAGCAACTGTCATTACTTAAACACAAAGCTTGACACTTGGGCAAATTCAAACCTTAAAATCTCAAAATGATTTCCAGCTTATACTCATAATCATAAACTGAAACAACTAGAAAGTCTCTGATGCTACTGCTTCCTGAAAGCCTTGACCAGACATCCTCAGTGGCGCTTGTACTTCCCTCCTCTAGCTGGCTGCCCTCAAACTGCTCCTCTCGAACTCGCTGCTCTCTAACTCCTCTTAGTCCTCTTCAAACTGGTGAGTGAGATGGGGTCAGTCTACGCCCTTACGTTTAACATCTTATTAATGCTTCATCACTTTACTTAACTTAGTGGAAGTTGTTTTGTACTTCCACTATTAAAAATCTTAACTCTTTAAACTTAAAGCTCAAATCTTGACTCAAATACTTGACTGACACTGGGATCCCTCACTAGCTAGTTCGGTTGCCAACTCATACGTATGAGAAGCCATCCAGGCTTTCCTTAAACTTAAACTTAGTTAGGGGAGTCGTAACTATTCATCCCCCTAACATCTTAAACTTATCGTGGTGGCTCTTCACCATGATTCTCAAGAGCATAACTGCTGCTCATCTTAAAAGTCTCAAGAGCATAACTGCTGCTCTATCTCAAAATGTCTCAAGAGCATAACTGCTGCTCTGTCTGAAAAGTCTCAAATGGCAACGGACTGGCGCTAGTGACTAAAAACACTTAAAACGACTTCACCTTCTTGAAGGTGAGTTACTTCTTAAAAAGACCTTATTTCTTAACTTTAACAATAACTTATAAACGTAAAGCTTTAAATTAAATAAGAACTCATGCACATTCACACCAAACATAGCTCAAACAGAATCACGTACCATCAACCATAAGCACAATCAAACAACGACAATCACCTCATCAAAATACTTAAGACTTGTGATTCTTGAAAGAACACGTAAGGCGTAGAATTTACCCCCTTTACACTCACCTGACTCGAATCAATCACTAACCAATTCCAGGGCCGATCACCTTAGCTTCACCCCTCCTATGTTGATGCGTGTTTCCAAGCTACCTCGAGACTGGTCAGTGGGAAAAGAGACATCTTTGAGTTCTACCGCGATCTGGTTCTCGGGGAAAGCATGTCGCTAGTTTGTTTCCTAACCAGGGGGAAATGCACAAAGTCTCGATCGTTCTTCCCTCATGTCTCTTT